AAAGCATACACGTGATGGCCCGCTAGTACTTTAGCGCCAGCTGCACATCAAAATGGAAACCTCTACCAGGAAGAGCTGGGTGGTGTGCATCCATCATGCAGCCAGCCTCCATTCCGCGCTCCTTCAGGAGCAAGGCTCTGGGGAAAAAATTGTGAATGATGTGGATACATGAGTGTCCTTGCGGATCATGCACTCATGATCTACTGAGGCAGAAAAACACCAGACCGGTGGATAGCTAAGGTCAACGGTGAGAAAAGTAGAGAGTGCTTTGGGAACACACGGGAAATTAACATAATCTGTTCCAGAAAGTGAGGGAGGCTTTCCTGAGACCGTAAGTGTCCCTAAGCTGAGCTCTAGGGAAATGGCAAGGAAGAGAACATATGCTGGGCAGGGGAATGGATTGTGCAAAACGCCGCGGTGGGAAGGGGCGAGGTGTGTTGGAGAAGCAGAGAGCTACAAGTCAGGTGGTAACAGACACCAGAACAGGCGGAAGAGGCAGGCGTGGGCTGGATAAGTCAGAGAGGGGACTTTACAGGGAGAATGTTTTGTTTTAAATTTGTGATGCTGAGGATTTAACTTAGTCCCCTACATGAATCAAGTCACTTAAAATCTGTATGCGCATGTCTGTGAACATGTCATGGTGCCCATGTAGAGGTTAGAGGGCAGCCTTTAGTGTCGGTACTGATGTTCCAGCTCGAGACAGGGTCCCTTGGTTTGCAGCCGTAGACAGCAGTAAACCGGCTGCCTGGGAGTTCCCCTGTGACCAGGCAGGGGTCACGCATGCGCACTACTGCATCTGACTGCATGTGGGCTCTGGGGATCCAAACTCAAGTTTTGACACTCGTGTGGCAAGCTCCCTACTTACTGAGCCAACTCCTCAGGCCACCATGTGACTTTTGAAAAGACGACTCGTGTGTCAAGGAGGTAATGTCCTAGAGAGGGGCAAACACAGAATCACAGAATTCCTTGGAGTCTGTTTCTGTGGTACACATGAGTTAAAGGAGACCCGGGGGAGGATGGGTATGGTGGAGATGGGCTCAACTCATCTAAAAAGTGAAACAGATCGACTGGATGTTTTATGAAATTTGAGACATCAAGGAGAGGAAGGACTCAAGGGTGACATCTGAAAGGCTCAGCAAGGTTGCTGTTAGAGCGGTTTGCTGAGCACTAGGATCCTGAAAGGGCAGCAGATTTAACAGAGATCGTGACTTCTGTCTTGGCACAGGTTGATTTTATACCCATCTGGGCAGATGTGAGAGGAGAGCTTATATTTAAATCGAGGTTAGGGAATAAAAACAGAGGCACTGGTGGATCAAACTATCATTGCTTCCAACATTGACTTAAAGTTGGGGAAATAAGTGTGTTAATTATTATCAGTGTTCATCTTTCATAGAAGTAATTTAAAGTGTGCATCTTCAGTCTTTCCAAGCAAAGTATTTAAACCATTGGAAAATCCAATCAATCTAAATAGAGGTAAGCTCCCCACCCCAATGAAATTTATAAAATCTATACTGCAACCCCTTACAAGGTCACTTGAATGGCCTTTCTGGCATGTCTGTTTCCTAGCTGGTGGCATCCACCTTTGCAGGACCTTCAGGGATATGGTCTTCTTTAGGATATAGCTTGGGACAGACCCTGTGGGTGATTATAGGCAGGAATTCTGCCTTCTGGCACAGGATTAGGGTTGCTTGGTTAGCATTGGTTCCCTTGCCCTCGCCTAACTGGTCCTGGTCCTGGTGTTTGGGCCAGGCATGGTTAGTGCAGGCAAGAAACAACAACAACAAACAAACAAACAAACCCCAAGACAAACAAACAAACAAATCCCCCCCAAAAATGTATTTTGAGCTGCTCCTTAAATCAAATGCCAGTGGATAGGATTACTAAAAATAACTGGCACTATACATGGGATTCATGTGTACTTATCTGTCTATGTGTTTGTACCTTCATGAGTTTATTTGCAACATGTGCATCCAGGTACCCACAGAGGCCAGAAGATCGTGTTAGATCCCAGAAGCATAGTTACAGTGGCTCTGTGCTTGGAACCAACCCCGAGAGCTCGGCCAGAGCAGTAAGCACTTTAACTGCGGAGGTGACTCTCCGGATCCATGCACTCAGGATCCTTCTCCGTTCATAGAAGCCAAGAACCTGAAAATGAGGCTGCTCCCAGAAGTTGACTCAGCCGTTGAAAAGATCTGTCTCTCTTGCCAAAAGTGGAGGGGAAACAGTGCTACCTGGAAATCGGACCTCAGCACAGGGGGTATTTTTATTAGAGTGTGAGCTGGGTTGTTTAAATGTTGACAGGAAAGAGCTGGTATAAAGGAAGGGGAGGGGCATAGCTGAGGAGAGATAATTAAGAGAGCACGCTTCAGGCAACCGGGAAGCAGAGGATTCTCAAGACAACTGAAGACAGTTTTATGTGATGCTTAAAACACGTGTGTGCCGCTGGACCTCGAGCCCCAGTGGTCTGTGTGTGTTGGTTTAAGTTCACCTCCTGAGGAAGGAGGCGGGTTTCCTCAGAGTCAGAGGAGAGCTCCAGCAGCCATAGGCCTACAGAGCAAGGGTGACCTTGGAAAGCTCCTGTAATGAAGGGTGAAGGAACTATGAGGCACACCATAAGGCTGGTTAGCTGTGAGCGGTGAGGTTAGTGACTGTGGATACTGACTCTTGTCATTCAGTTTTATGATTTTTCTCCAGCAAAGCTCAACTGCTTAGGAATAGGCACAGGAAAGTGAGTGACTGGGCCTGTTTAGGAGTGGAAAATTTCTAGGTGGGCACAATGAAAAATTAGCGGGTTCGAAAAATTGGGGGGAAAAGTATCTAAAGAGGCAGACTATAATGAACAGCAAACTGAATGAAGAACCAGGCAGAGCGTTATACAGCAATCCCGGCACCAGGTGGGTGGGGAGGCCTGTGAGCAAGGCCGGCCTGATACACTGTCTAAAAACCACACAACAGCAACGACAAGCAAATGACTGAGGAGGGACGTGGATGCAGAGAGGGAGTGAGGGAACTGAGTGAGACAGATCTGGAAGAGCAGATGAGCCAGGGAAGTGGGGTTGCAGAGTCCCGTGGGGCAGGACCTGAAGGCAGTGTCTGAAGCAGTGCTGCATTTCCTGCATTACTGGTCCGAACACCTCAGGGCGGCCGACTGAGGAGATGGAGGGCAATGCATTGAATAAAAGGGCTAGAGGAGTTGGAGTCTGGTTGTTGGGCAGGCCACCCACTTGGCAAGAGGCCACCCACTTGGCAAGAGCATCGGTGAGGTACACAGCAGGCCTTGCTAGAGCGGAAGACCACTCCATGCAATAGCAGACTGGGGAGAGTAAGAACTACAGAAACCACCGCAGCAGTTCACAGCAAGGGCCAGAGAGTGGTACTACATCGTCTAAAAATCAAAGACCAGAGGCTGTGTCTTAAACAACTCTTTTCAGACGACAAAGTACATCGGTATACAAAGGATAAATATGCAGACTGGAGAATGGCGGTGAACATGGGCAGATTAAGAGAGTAAGATGAGGGCCGGGCAGCGGTGATGCACGCCTTTAATCCCAGCACTCGGGAGGCAGAGGCAGGCGGATCTCTGTGAGTTCGAGGCCAGCCTGGTCTACAGAGTGAGATCCAGGACAGGCACAAAGCTACACAGAAAAACCCTGTCTCGAAAAAACCAAAAAAAAAAAAAAAAAAAAAAAAAAAGGGGGGGTAAGCTGAAGACTCACATGCCCACATTTCTAACACCTAAGATACTTCTATGACCTTTGCACCATATCCCTAAGACTTTAATCTCTTTTTCCTGCCGGGATAGCCAAAGGCTGTAGGAAATAGTCTATGAAGAAATAAAGCATAACAAGGCATTTGATGCTTGTGGCACAGGTAATCCTGAGGACGCAGGGGACTGGATAAAGGACGGGAGGCACCGGAGATCAGGGAGAAAGAGCAGCATGGTGAGGAAAGAATGCTGGAGGAGGGGCAATACTGAGGGCTGGAGCTCTGGGCACGGCTGATGTGGAGGGTGATGAGTTCAATCCCAAGTCTCCCAGAGAAAGCATGCGGGCACTCAGCCTTCACCGGGCTCCGTTTCTATGGAAGAGGAGGCTGCTGTGGTCATTTTACAAGTCAGGGTGGGCTGTGCTGCATGACAGATGGTGGCCATGGTGCTTAGAGAGTGTGATGGTCAGTCCTGATTATTAACTCGGTGGGAATTAGATTCACCTAGGAGACAAACTGCTAGAACAACATTTCCAGAAAGGATTAGCTGAGGGAGGAAGGTGGGTTTCTGGGGTCCCAGACTGGATGGAAAGGAGAAAGTGGGTGGGGCACCAGCACTGATTCTGCTGTGCTTCCTGGCTATGGACACAGTGTGACCTGCTGTAGCACGAATCTTAACAGGTCTTATTAATAATAATAATAATAAAAAAACTCGGGAACCAGATATTGGGGTGAATACTGAAAAAATCAGAGAAGCAGAACAAGCCACAGCTTCCTCACCTCACCAACTTCTCAGCTGATTCTGCTTCCTCAAACTGGAAGCCTCTGAGTCCTCATCTGAATGGATCTCAGCTGAACTGCTGCTCAAAAGCCTAAAAGCTTAAAAATTCTAGTTCCTGGTCCTCTGCCTTACATCCTTTCTGCTTCCTGCCATCACTTCCTGGGATTAAAGGTGTGAGTCACCATGACTGGCTGTTTCCAGTGTGGTCTTGAACTCACAGAGATCCAGATGGATCTCTGCCACTGGAATGCTAGGATTAAAGGTGTGTGTGCCACTATTTTCTGGCCTCTATGTTTATGTAGTGGCTGTTCTGTTCTCTGACCCCAGATAAGTTTATTAGGGTGCACAATATTTTGGGGAACACAATATCACCACAACCAGCCTCCTCCTCTCAGCCATAACTAAAGCTGTTCTCCTCACCATGCCTGTCTCACTCTGATGGGCTGTGCCCTCAAGGTACGAGCCAATAAAGCCTGCCTTCCTGAAGTTGATTTTGTTCAATATTTTGCCACAGCAACGAGTCAGTAAGCAATAGGGCAGCTTGGTACTAAAGTAAGATCGTGGCTATGGTAAACCTGAGCTGGCAGGTCTTGAACTCTCAGAGGCGATCTATGGAGGGAAGGTGGGAGAGTTCGCAGACGCTGACTAAGAAGCCCTAGGATGCTGTAAGTAGAACTCAAAGGCCATTTTGGTGGGAGTCGAGAAGACCAGAATGCTGAGATAAGTTCAGAAAGTGGCAGCCGGCTCATGAAATTTCAAAGGGAAAAAGGCCTCCATTGAGAATGAGACTAGAGGCCGTCTATGCTATATTATGGAGAAGAATCGGGCTTTATTCAGTCAGTGTCTTGAAGGAAACCTTGAGTAAGGCTAAATTCAAGAGCAAGGGACCAGGTTGTTTGGTGGAGGAGATTTCAAGACTATATAACAACAGGTTGTGGCATGGTTATTGCTTAGTGCTCTTAGTCAGAATTACAAGAAGACAGAGCAGAACAATCTGAAAAATGTACCGTTGATGAAGGAGGGAACATGGGTGTCCTTAAAACTGCAGACAAGAAGGGTTCAAACAAGGCAGCTGCAATTGTTAAAAGGATTCGAGTCAATAAAGGGGAGTCTCCTGCTCTGCACTGGGACATAGTAAGGTGGCCTGAGTCCAAGACCCACCTACAGATGGCTCCAGCTTGTATTCAAATTAGTTTGAAAGGAGAGAGCCACCAACTGAGATTGCCACCAGAGGGGTCCCCTCCCCCACATCAAAATGGCTTTACACATGTGGAGATTAAGGAGGACATGGAGGCTTGCACCAAGGTCCCAGAAAACCTCTGAGGCCAAGCGATATGAGGTACAGTCAGAGTCTCTCAGCGATACAGCCCTTGAGGCCACTGCATGAAACTGGTGAGGCTTGAGTTGCAGTGGGGACCCCCGGGGTGTTGGAGGTGCCAACACTGTGGGATGTCTGTGAGGAAAGCTGCTGGAGTGTTGGAGAGGCCACATGAGCTGGAGGGGCGTAGCTACCCAAGGCTTTTGGAGCCCAGATGATTCCATCACAAGCCCTTCGTGATGGACCTGGAGATGTAGGATTTGGTGTTGTGCTGTCGGGCTTTCTCATGCTTCAGTGTGATAGTCCATGCTGTGCTCCCCATTCTTTCCTTTTGTAATGGGAATGTTCAACTTGTTTTATTATGTAATGGAACATGTAGCTTATTGCTGGATTTTACATGGGTTGCCATGAGTCTCACAAGAGTCTTTGGGTCTTTTTGAACAATATTAAGGCATTTAACAATACATTCTTTCATTTTGCATTATTAGATCATGAGACTTTAGGAATGGGAGTGGAATACTATGATTTAAAGTGACAAGTTGACAAGGCCTGGATTTGTGGTGGTTAATCTTCATTGTTAACTTGGTGGGGATTTAAAATCGTCTGGATGGGACATTTAGAAACATCTGGACATGTCTGCAAGGGTGTGTCCCGAGAGGATTAACTGAACAGAGAAGACCTGCTTGCCGAGGTGAGTGGTACCATCCCATGGCCCGGGCTCTGGATGGAATAAAAATGAGAAAGTAGGTATAGAATGGGTCATCTCTCCCTCTCCCTCTCTCTGGTTCCTGAATGCTGACACGATGTGACCAGCTCCCGTTATCCCACCTGAGCTCCTCTTCCTGGCACAGCTTCTCTCCCCGACATGATGGATTACACCCTCAAACAGCAAGCCAAACACTGTCCCTTCTCTAAGTTGTGTCTGTCAGGCATTGCCATGGCAACAAAATGAACCTTTTGGTGGATGCCTGGAAAACGAACACAGGCTGTAGAAAGCACGCACTCATCTGAAGCATGTAGGCGCCTTTGCTGTGGGTGGTGGCTCTACAGTTACTGGGTTTGTTCTTATTAACCCATTGTTCGTCTCACTTTTTGAGGCAGGAGAAAAAGAGGAGGTATAAACTATGTTGTTTTTATTAAAATTTCTCCTGGAAATTACAAGTGTGAAGGAAGGCAATCAAATACAAAGAGCGCCGGGTGGTGGTGGCGCACGCCTTTAATCCCAGCACTTGGGAGGCAGAGGCAGGCGGATCTCTGTGAGTTCGAGGCCAGCCTGGTCTACCAAGTGAGTTCCAGGAAAGGCGCAAAGCTACACAAAGAAACCCTGTCTTGAAAAACCAAAAACCAAAAACAAAAACAATACAAAGAGCAATGAGAAACAAAGGGATAGACTAAAGAATCACAACCAGCAAAGGCAGTTCTGGAATCCTGTGGCAATACTGTGTTACTGGGACAAGAATTTCAAATGTGAGAGACCAAGATAACAGTCTCCCCTGAATCCTTTAAGATGGAATTGTACGTCTTTATGTTGTAAAACTATTAACACATAGGCTGTAATTAAGGGAGGCAGGCTGTACTAAGAGAGTCTCAAGGGTCAGAACCAAACAGTGGAACAAGTGGGTTGGCGTGGTTGACAGTAGTGTTCTGTGTGCTTCGTGTTTGACCCTAAAATCAGTGTGCCCAAATCCTGTGCTTCAAGGTGATGATGTTGTGGGGGGCAGGGCTTTGGGGGGTGACTATATCATGGAGATGGAGGCTCAGGAGCAGACCAGTGTCCATCCCTGTGAGGTCACACACCAAAGACAGCCGTCGGTGTATGGGCCAGAAAGCAGCCCTCCACAGACAGCCCACCCGCAGAAACAGGAGGGAACGAAGGCCGGGGTTCCACGCGGGGCTGTGCTGAGCAAACGACCTCATCTGGTGCTGCTTATGTTGGGCAACGCGTGGGAGGGGCTCTCCCACGCTTCTGCTACAGTGCTGCTCCCATATTTGCACCCGAAGGACGCAATTGCTTGGTCCAGAATCCTCACTTCTCGTCTCCTCATCTTAGCATGGGTACCTTTCAAAGGAAATTTTACCGAAGAATAATGAAACTGAAATTTGAAGACTTGGTGGTGAGCACCGAGGAAGAGATTCTGCTCTGGATTTGTAGAGGAAGAATGCTTCAGGGAAGTCGTCCTGAGCCGATTGCCTGATATGTCAGCCACAACGGGCAATCACTGCACGTAGCCAGGGGATGCATGGAGTTTTGTTCCTCCCGTATACACTGTGTGTGCTTACTAAGGCTCCCTCTGCACTCACATTTGCTAGTTTTACTTTGTTCCCATTCATCCTCTCATTCATTTATTCACTCACCCATTTACTGGAGATTGAACATAGGGCCTCATGGAGGCTAGGCAAGTGATCTACCTCTGAGCGTAACATGAATTACTAAACGGTCTTATTAATAAAAATAACTCAGAGCCAGATATTGGGGTGAACGCTGAAAGATCAGAGGGATAGAACAAGTCACAGCCACCACCTATTACCTCACCAACTCCACGAATCCTCTGACTGAAATCCTCAGTCTCCAGAGAGAGCTACTTCCTGTACACTCACGCCCTGTATACCTTTCTGTGCCCTGCCATCTTACTTCCTCTTTCCGTCCAGCTCTATCACTTCCTGTCCAGTCCTCCAGACCTCTATTGTTAACTAGTGCTGGGATTGATTAAAGGTGTGTGCCACCACCCCTGACTCTGTTTCCAGTGTGACCTTGAACTCACAGAGATCTGGATGAATCTCTGCCTCCCAATTCAAGGATTAAAGGCGTGTGCTACCACTTCCTGACCTCTATATTTGATATAGTGGCTGGCTTTTCCCTCTGATCCCCAGGCAAGCTTTATTTGTTAGAGCACAAATAAAATATCACCACATCTGAGCTATACTCTTAGCCCTTTTATTCACTTTAAATAACAAAGTTTAAGACAGGTCTTTGCTAACTCTAGACTGGATCTGAACTCGCTCTGTAGCCCAGGTAGGCATCCTTCTGTCCCTGTCTCCCTAATACTCAGATTACAAACATAAGCTCCGACACCCAGTCCAATTCCTGTGTTAACAAATTCATGTTTTTCTGTGGAAGAAATACTTATTTTTAGGTACTATTTACATAGGAAAGCCCAACGCCAGTTTGGGTTTAGACATGCAGCCTCCCTCCCTCCCTCCCTCCCTCCCTTCCTTCCTTCTTTCCTTGGTGGTAGTTAGTAGGGTCTAATGTAGTTCAGGCTTATTTCAATTCCTATGTAGCAAGGATGGCTTTGACCTCATGATTGCTCTCAAGAATTGGGATTACCCCTCTGGATAAGTGAGACAGTTGTTTAGCTTGAACTGTTTAGGTGGCCCTCAGGCAGTGGGATTGGGACCTGTCCCTAGTGCATGAGCCAGCTTTTTGGAACCTAGGGCCTATGGTGAGACACTTTACACAGCCTTGGTGCAGGGAGGAGGGGCCTGGACCTGTCTCAACTGAATCTACCAGGTTCTGCTCAGGAGAGACCTTGCCTTGGAGGAGGTGGGAATGGGGGGTGGGTTGGGGGAAAGGATGGGGGGTGGGAGGAGGGAGGACAGGGGAATCTGTGGTTGATATGTAAAATGAATAGAAAATCTCTTAATTTAAAAAAAAGGAGGAGCTGGGCGGTGGTGGCGCACGCCTTTAATCCCAGCACTCGGGAGGCAGAGCCAGGAGGATCTCTGTGAGTTGGAGGCCAGCCTGGGCTACCAAGTGAGCTCCAGGAAAGGTGCAAAGCTACGCAGAGAAACCCTGTCTCGAAAAACCAAAAAAATAAAAAAATTTAAAAAAGGAGAAAAAAGGGTGGGGGGGGGAGAATTGGGATTACAAGTACATGCCACTGCACCTGGGCTGGCATGCAGACTATCCAAATTAGATATACAGACATCATTTTTACATAACAAAAAAGGAAACTTTAAGGATTCTCAGGGACTCTCCAGGCAGAAGGAGCTGAGGGAACAGTAGGAAGCGCAGAACACAGCGGCGAGGCTGGGGTCTGCCCAGACAGAACTGGTCAGGGGAGACCCACTGGTCTGAAGTCTGATGACGTTAGGGAGCAAGCTGTGTAAAATAAACAAGAACTTGCGTGTATTCCCCTAAGGAAGTATGTTTTATTTCTGTGAACAGATGTAGGTATTGAGGGCCCTGCAGTTGGTCTGTGTTGGTGCAGAGCGTGAATGAACAAATCTCCAATTGTGGTGATTGTGTTTTAGCCAGCCACGTAGTAACTTAAAACATCCCCTGAATCCTTCAAATCTGTGGCTTGTCTCTTGTGCCCAACTTGTGGGAATATGAGGAGATGTCCAGATCTGTGCCTGGCTGGTGGATTACAAACAAACAGGAACAGGATCCCCGGAGATCTGCAGAGGTAGCCACTGAAAGTCAGAGCAGTCAGGGTGACCCACGACTTCAGAGTTTGAAGTCTGATGTGATGGCTTAATCCTAGCACTCGGGCGGCTGAGGCACAAGATCAACACCCGCCTGGGCTACAGTGAGTTCTAGGCCAGACTGGGTTAAAATGTGATACCTTGTCTTAAAACAAAAAACAAAAACAATACAACAACAATAGCAAAACATTTAAGGTATTTCACCAGTGAGAATAGGGAGAAGGGCTAGGGGAGGGAAATATGGGGGTTAGCATGATTAAGGTAGAATGATGTGTAGATACATACACAGATGATAGATAGATAATAAACCAACTATCATAATGAACCCATTATTTTGTATGCTAAAATATTAATAAATAACAAAAAAATAAAAATATGCATTTTTAACAAAGAGCAGTGATTTAATAAAAAATATTGAAGATGACTGGTAGAATTCTGATGAATTTGGAATGCCATGGAGGAGTCTTGTCTCAATCAACAGCAAGGGATAAACAACCGAACATTCTTATTGATTAGCATTGTACATCTGTGCCTGTGATACTTCAAGATGAAAGGCTTGTCTCTTTCCCTTGGTGGCCATGTTTCCTGGATTCTTCCTCTCCTTTATTCTAGGAAAATCCTCTGTATCCTGTGAGCAATGTCTGCCTCAACCTCACGGTTCCATCCTGTACAGCATCTGTGCGCCTTGGCGGAGCTGGAGCCAAGGATTGCTGCACCTGCCACAGGTCACTGTGAAGCTCCCTCCTTCCTCCTCCTGCTGGTACTCCCTCCTCCTGCTGGTACTCCCTCCTCCTGCCCGCTCTCCACTCAGCTGGCTGTGTTTATATACTGTGGCAAATATAAGTTGGAGATGGTCATTTAGCTGTAATAAAGATCCCTGGGTCTTGCAAATAGCTCTGTTGTCTCACCTCAAACACAATGGAAGGAAACAGGGATGTGGACTTCATTGACGTAGTTAGCTGGGGGGTGGGGGTAGGGGGGGTGAGGGGTGGGGGTGATCCTTCAATCCTGATGAAGGGTCTCTGCCTTCTGGAAAAGCAGGTTTTCCTTTAGTTCTTGTCCCTTGGAGTGCCTGAAGGATTACGTTCTCAGTGACTGAAGCGACAGCTTGGAAGAGCAGTAAAGAAGCATGGTACGTTCTCTGAAGTACAGACAGAGGCACTGTCAGCTTGGTTCGGTGATGCATTCTTTTTTTTGTTTTGTTTTGTTTTTCAAGACAGGGTTTCTCAGTGTAGCTTTGTGCCTTTCCTGGAACTCACTCTGTAGCCCAGGCTGGCCTCGAACTCACAGACATCCACCTGGCTCTGCCTCTCGAGTGCTGGGATTAAAGGTGTGCGCCACCACCGCCCGGCCAGTGATGCATTCTTAGAAGGTGTCTGCAAAGGCAGGGAAAACATCAGAATGGTGGAGTGTGTCTTGCTTGAGACAATGAGGAGCTTTTTGAAGTTCCAGAAGGCAGCTTGACATTCTTAATAAATGCAATGTGAGGGGTCGGACTTGAACCTTATTTGGCTGTCTGCTAAACATACATATGAATGGCGGCAGGTTGCCTAAATTTGCCAGTGCTCACTCTCTGCTTTCCAAAGTGAATCTAATGAATCTAATGTCTATTCTAGCACATTTGACAGTTTAATACTAAGCCACAACTGGTGCTGGGGTTTGGACATGGGCAGGTGAGCCAAGTGGTTAATGGAATTTACTCAAAGAGAAGCCACTTACGTGAGGCTGAGGTGCCGCCAGAGAGGCAATTCACTGTTTCCCAGGGAAACAGCCAAACACTGAACTATAGCACTCATTTGCCAAATTATGCAAATGTGTCTCTAGTCCAGCTCTGTAGATGAATACCACAGTCCAGGGGGACGACAGAGCCTGGAATTAAACAACAACAAAATGAAAACCTCAAGGAATGACCTGACAGATTACTTGGTGGATACTAAATCTAGTTATCTTTGCATCTAACAGGCTCCATCACACTCAGAACGTGATGATCCCTGCTTGCTCAAAGATGCCTACCCTGCTTCGTCACTTTGCGGGTCCACAGTGTCAGGAACTGGAAAAGCTGTGGCAGCACACGGGACATTACAGTATGGCACCAGCTGGCCTCTGCTTGGGGCAGAGGCCTTCTCTGGAGAGAGCCTGTTGCTAGAACCCAGCGTAAGTAGGCTTCCTGGAGAAGCATCAAGACGTGCCTAGTAGCTTCTAGCAATCCCAGAGCTGCCGGTGGAGGTGAGCTACTGATAACGCAGCAAAGAACAGAGCTCAGGCGAGGAAGTGTGTTCATTCAGTTAAAACACAGTATTATGAAGTGCTGGGTGCCCAGCAGGTGTTCAACCAATCATCCCCTCCTCCTTGGAGACAGGGCCCCATGTATGCCAGGCTGGCCAAGGGTGACCTTGAACAAGGGTGACCTGGAACTTCTGTTCCTGGAGCTTCCATTGCAGACTGCTGGAATTATAGGCTTGTCACTCACACCACGTCTGGCTTGTGTGGTGCTGGAACCCAGCGCTCAATGCATGGTGAGGAAGCAGGCTACGCATTGAACTTCACTGCCAGCTCCACTGTTGTTGGTATTCTTTAAGCCCCCTTTAAACTGCAGAACTGATTTCCCTTCCTGTGTGCACAGTAGCTGTATCTTCTGTAGTTGATTTAAAGTGTGTTCAGCTGAAACCAATTTAACTGAGAGAGACGAGAAAACGCCAGCTCCGGCATAACAGAGTGGGAAGGCATGTTGGTCTTCTTCAAGGAGAGATGGTGGGGGTCGGAGAGGGCTCCATGGCCGGGAGCACATGCTGCTCCTGCCAAGGGTCTGCATTTGGATCTCAGCACCCACGTCAAGCAGCTCACAGCCGCCTATACATCCAGCTCCACTGGGATTTGACATCTCTGGCCTCCACAGCTATGTGCACACTTGGGCATGTACCCATATAGATTTAAAAATTAAATATATCTTTAAAAGAAGAAGAAACAGGGATAGGGCAAGATGTGAGTTAAAAGACTATCCCAGAGCTGGCAAGAGGGCTCAGTCCGTAAAGGTGCTTAACACTAAGACCAGCATGGTGGAAGGAGAAAACGAGCTCTCTCAAGCTGTCCTCTGACACACACACACACACACACACACACACACACACACACACACACACACACACACACACTGTGATTCTGCATATTCATGTTCTCTTTCTCTCCCTGAGAAAATAAAATGTAACTGAAAATTTTAATTTTAGTCATCAAGAAAGCTGCAGAGGCAGATTGAAACATTGGTATAAAAAAGGTAGGTGTGTGTGTGTGGGGGGGGGGTAGAGAGATGGCTCAGCAGTTAAGAGCACTTGACTAATCTTCCAGAGGTCCTGAGTTTAATTCCCAGTAACCATATGATGCCTTACAATCATTGATAATGGGATCAGATTCCTTCTTCTGGTGTGTATGAAGACAGAGCACTCAGATATATAAAGCACATGAATAAATAAACCTTTTAAAAAATGGTAGGTGTGGTGGCCATAATGTTGGTTTGATTGTTTTTCCAAGTTGCTGGATTTTATCACCATTCTTGTATTTTATAGGAAACAGGATGTAATAAACAGGTCAGCGCCTCATGAGAAACAAACCCGGTAGGTACACTTTGCTCTCTCTACACGCAGCAGCACTGATGTCCCCAAATCAGGTGCAGGGGTTGCCCGGGGCCTGAGAACAGCTGGGGTCCATCTGAGTCTGGGGAAACTGGCGATGTTTCCCCAGAAACAAGGATGTTTCCCCAGAGTAGCAGGGAGGTGGATGGGCGGCAGTGGGAAGCAGAGCCTGGTTTTCACCCTGAGAAAATGAAGGAACATGGGTCATAATGAGACAACGCAGCTTCCAAACCGAGGGAAACAGCAAGTTATGAAAGGCAAAGAGAACATAAATGAGTTCAAATCCATCTTCAAACACCACATGGTCAACAAGCTTGCAGGAAATAGGGGAGCGTGGGAGGTGAAGGGAAGTGAGAAAAGCCGTCATAAGCAATAGATTTAAACAGATTTTAATATTTTAAGATATTTAGCTGGCAGCTGGTTTAAGACAATAGTGGAACCCTAAAAAAATCACTAAGGCACATTTATCTCATTAAAATTGTAAAACTCACAGCCCCAGGTGTAGACTTAACCTCACAGGGAGTCAGGACAAGCAGAAGTGTGACGCATGGGAGGGCACTGGTACAGGCTGGGCTGGCGAAGATGCTGAGAGACTGAGTACCAGTCAACCTCAGGCAGACAGATCGGCAGGCCCTCCTCTCACTCATGGAGTATGCTTCTGTCTTTTCTCATGTTGGCTCCTCTGTGCTTGTGTAAGAATAAGCCTTTTTTTCCTGTGACTTGCACCCCCGTCTTATTCTCCCAATAGCACATGAGCCCACAGGGTCCGTACCCATCAAGCAGATGTTTGCTGTCAGTTTTTCTCTTGGGTTCCGGCTGTGCACCTGCCACTCCACAGAAAAATCATGGTTTCGTTGTGTTTTATTTTTTTTTTAAAGTCTGTATGTGCTCTGGAGAAAGGGATGTTAAGGAACACTAAATCACTTTGCACCTCAATGAATTTGACTTTTAAAAGGAGGAACCAACTGTAGTGAGTTTTAAGTGCCCCTTGTCCCAGATGCACAGTTCCTGGGGATGGTGTGTCCACACCAAGGGAAAAAAGCAATTCCAGTCAGAACATACAAAGAGAAGGTGGGGACCAGCTCCGTGGCAGAGCATGGCCTACCTCATGTGATGGCCAGAGGTTTAATCCTTGGTACCAGGGTGGGAAGTGTGTGTCAGGAGGAGGAAGAGCCAGGTGAAGATAACGCTGAGGGGATGGGGTGTGCAGGTGGGGTAGGGGTTGGGAGGATTCGATCTGTGAGCACACGTGGAAGCTCGGGAGCGTTTGATGGAGGAAAATCATGAAACTAATAAGGCCTGATCGAGGACAGGGTTTGACTTCTCGGACTTGGTCTTGGCTTAGCATTTGCTTACTACACGTCTATCTTTGAGGCAAACAAGGAGTGGGTACTGAAAACAGAAAATGCTAGCTTTAAAGATAAGAGCTTGGCCATGGCTAGAGGGCTGTCGAGGTGGAAGTGAGTGTGAGAGTTCCAGAGTGTAAAAAGGAACAGCTTTCATTCACTGAGCATCCGATGAACTAAGAGGCTGGAAAGCCCCCAAAGTGCCTCCAACTGGAGCGTTGGAGAAGCATGTTGCTGTGTCATAGGATCAACCTCGGTGTTTACTGAGAACTTACTTCTCACACCATGCTTCTCCACATACCATTTGTCTGATTTTCCCAGCCACATTTCAGAAGCTTTATTATCAGCTCTGTGTTTTATGGAGCCAGGAAAGGTGATGGAGCCAATGTTTTGATTAGTGCTGGCAAGTTTCGGGGCCTTTTCCTTGGATCTTTCTACTGAGAGCTGCCTGAGACTGCAGGTCTGGAATTGGCTAGGAAGACATGACATTAACTCAGTTAAATAACAAAGAATATATAGGAGGAAATGAAGAAAACCTGACACATTAAATATAAAGGCTAACAGGAACATACGACACCAAGACAGGGCAGTGAAAGCGGTGTAATGTGTGCTAAGCAAAGACGTGACTATGTACTTTGTACTGGTGTCTTTAGCTTATATAAAAATAATAAAAACAATTTTAGAAATCAAAAATAAGAGCTATAGGTTTGCACCAGTAGCCATTTCCACGTCTTCCTTGGAACATTCCCTCTTTATATGCTGATCTTAAGTTTACATCTTGAACCTCATGGTCCCTTCCTGAACTCTATGTTCAAGAATCCAAACCCACATGGCACCTCACAACAGTCTATAACTCCAGCCAGCTCCAGAGGATCAGATGTTCTCTTCTAGCTTCCATGGACACTGCATGCACAGGGTACACACACACACACACACACACACACACACACACACATGCAAATACATATATATGCAAAACAAGTTAGTGTCTTGCTGGAGATTGCTGCTAGTGAGTATAAAATACACACCAGACTTCAAAAACTTAGTTCAAAAGACCATAAAATATCACACCTCAATAATTTTGTTGATTATACAATAATTAGTTGGTTATACTAATATTTTTGACATACATTGTGGTCACATAAAATATTTCATTAACATTGACTACACCTTTTTGTTTTTAAATTCTTTTTTTTTTTTTTACTTTTTCAACATAGTACTAAAAATTTGAAATTTTGCATGTCTCTCACATCATGGTGTTTTATTTTTGCCAAGTAGCATTGTTTAGGCCTGTGTTCACACAAACTTTTAACTATTCTAAAACTAATTAGTTAATTTAACTTAATAATCATTTACTTTGAAAACACATGTTCTTCTGGGACAATAGAAGCTAATTGAATTGAGAATTAAAGCTGATTTGAGTTTAAATCAAGGCTTCTCTGCTAGCTTTATGTCCTGTGTCGATCTTTTTGTTTTGTTTTGTTTTTTCGAGGCAGGATTTCTCTGTGTAGCTTTGTGCCTTTCCTGGAACTCACTTAGTAGCCCAGGCTGGCCTCGAACTCACAGAGATTCACCTGGCTCTGCGCCACCGCCACTCGGCCCCTGTGTCGATCTTATTAACACCTTCAGTCTATACGGGGTGAACAAGGTTATTTGGGGGAAGCTGTTGTGAGGCTCATAGTAAGCAGACAATGTTCTCAGCTCAACGCTGGGTCCTTGGCTGTCTCTGAAGTGGTGGCTACAAGTCGTGGGAGGAATCGGATTAGGAAGTGACCAAGTGAACAGAGGTGGATGGCTTGTCACTCGCTCAGAACAGATGGGATATCAGTCTTATGAACACTAAATTCTAGGGGCATTGCATTCCGTGAAAGTCAGTTCAAACCTGACATCAGCGGGAGGACTGAAGATGCAAGAACCCCCAGTACCTACGTTATGGGGAGCAAAATAAAAAAACGAAATTTGTGGGGAAAATAATGAATTCACTTTTAAATACATGAGGCACATTGTGTGACTCAGTTGCTCATGATTTCTACAAAGCAGACATTTGGGGGGGGGGGGAGATACAGCAGGGGTCTGCTCATTCTCCTTATGTGTACTTTGTAAAGTAACTGGATTCCTAAGACTACACCTGGAGTGTTTTGCTGTCCTGCGCCTCATGCGTGCGAAACAGGTGCCTTACCAAACAGATCAGGAGGTCCATATGTCGAGAAATGAACTCAAGCTAGACTACAGAAGGACTTACAGCACTTAGATAAAAGCCAGCATTCCTTAGGACCTTGTGAAATGGGTTTTCCACCCCCAAAAGGAGTCATTTCCCTTGCCTCTGGAAGAAGGGGCACATGGATCTTCATATGGTTGCATATCAAAGTCCATGTCGGCCTCCGGATTCCCTCAGTGTCCCGTCTCTACCCACCAGGACAACCCCACACACACACACCACCTATAAGCATTATCTCTTGCTATCTTCACTCTTCTCTGCACTCTGCTTCCTTAGCCCTGCCCTGTCCAATCTACTTCTTTTTCTCTCTGCTCTGGACTCTTCCTCTGGATATTCTCCCTCCCTCATTCACAATAAAACCCCTTCCAACTAATAACGGAGTGGCCATTCTGGCAGTCTCTCTACTGAGCCCCCTCACACACACAAACCACACCCCCAGCATTAAATATGTTATTTTAAAAATGTCTTATTTCATTTATTTGTTTGTTTGTTTGTTGGGAGTCATTATGTGAATGTACAGAAGTCAGAGGACAATGTGCAGATTCTGTTCTCCCAATATGTCTCTGGAATAGAACTCAGGTCTTCAGGCTTAGCAGCAAGTACCTTTACCTGCTGAGTCATTATGAATGTTACAGCTCCGAGGGGAAAGGTATCCTGGCAGCTGGGAGCCGGGGAATAGACAAACCTCACACAAGAAATTTATTGGGAGGGAAAAACCCAGGAGAGTGGCTGCCTCTCCTCGGGTGAGAAGCAGCAGAGAATTGAGAGGAAGCCTTTCTTGGGGAGGGGTGGAGCTTTCCAGGCTGATCTAGAATTGGAGGGATTATGTGGGTTGATCTTGGGGCAAGCTCAGGGATTGGTGGGATTTTTTTTCTGTAGGGCGGGGCCTGGCCACTCTCTCACTTCAGAGGGCTGGGAATGGCTATTAAGTCAATTGGAGAAGTCTGGGGACAGCACCTGGCAGTTGGTGTCGCTCAGGGCAGGGCCTAGCTGTAAAGCTGTCTCTGCTGCTCAGGTTGTGTGAACAGTCAACATTCATCTTGTGTATGGGTTTTGTTGTTGTTTTGAGGCAGGGTCTCTCTACATAGCTCTGGCTGTCCTGAAACACACTCTACAGACCAGGCTGGCCTTGGACTCACAGAGCTCTACCTGCCTCTGCCTCCTGAGTGCTGGGATTAAAGGTGTGCACCACCACCACCAGACTACTTGTTCTAAATAAAATGTTTTGTTAAAAGCAGTTAAGATTCAAGTACAAAAATCCACTAGATTTGTAACAAGAGAATTCCTGGTAAAAGGGTGTTTATGAATTCATATTGTGCTCACGACCTCCAAGACTTCAAATAAGAATAAACAATAAAGTAAAAAATGAATGACAACTCAAACAGCTAACATAAATAAAAACGTGGATGTGGTAGCGACGGCTTATGACCCCAGCTTGGGCTGCAGCTAGATTGTCTCAGGAGAAATAATCGAAAAGTGAACAGAAACCTGAAAAGACTGCGGGCGGTGGCGGGTGGCGGGTGGCGGTGGTGGTGGTGGTGGCGGAATGCTCCCACTGAGTATGGGGGTCCTGGTCATCAACACGGAAAACACGGATACTTTGTCTTTAATTTGTTAACTGAATATATGGGTTACCAAAGAGGTTTAGGTGGGAGACATAAACTACAAGCCATCTTTGAATTGGTGATAAATTAATCCACTAAACTGAATGGACATTATTTTATTTTTGGTTTGTGCTGGGAATTGAATCTAGGACTTCACACATACTGGGCAAGTGTTTCACCACTGAGCTACACCACCAGCCCTGAACTCAGCCTAATGAACGAGAACAAGTCCTGTACTTATTTCCGTAAGACAAGACTGCAGATTCTGAAACTGACTCTGAAGGGGGGTGGGTGAGTGGGAGGGTTGCCTATCTACCCATTGGCGCTCATCCAGCAGGAAGTTCAAAATTGGAAGTGGGAGGCTTAGATGGGCTCCCCTTCCATCTCTGAAGGGGTACTTTCATACAAATCCATGTCCCCACCGGGCAATGTAGTTGGAGTTGAGCTCATAATGGAAGGAGCTAGCCTCTCACCAGGCCCAGGACCATGCTGATTGCTGCCAGATGAGCAGGCCGATTAGTACTTACACAACCTCAAATAGCCAGGAAAGAGGGTTTCAACTGAGACATTGTCTACATCAGGTTGACTGTACATCTGTGGAAGATATTGTCTTGGTTGTTAACTGAGGCGGGTGAGTGTGGGTGACACCATTTCATAGGCCGAGAAGAGTACAAAAAGCTGGCTGAATACTAGTGCTTTACACTCTTGTCTTAATTTTTCCCTGCAATAACGGACTGTACCCTGGGATTGTCAGCCCAATAAACCCTTTCTCCCCTAAGTTGCTTTGTGGTCAGGGTATTATCACAGCTGCGGGTGTAGGACACTCCTAAGCCTTATTACATGAAAGCATCACTTTAAGGCCTGGTACTGAACTGAAATGCCCAGTCTGTCATGTGGATTCATTCTGTGTGTGTGTGTGTGTGTGTGTGTGTGTGTGTGTGTGTGTGTGTGTATGAGAATATGAATACAGGTGCTCTTGGAGATGAGAGGCATCGGATCCCCCTGGAGTTGGAGTCACAGGCAGCTGTAAGGAGTCTGATGTGGGAGATGAGAACCAAACTTTGGCCTTCAGAAGAGCAGCCAGTGTTCCTAACCACTGCGCCATCTCTTGAGCCCATGACTCATTCTTAAAATGATCAGACATAGTAAAATCAGAGACTGCCACCAAATCTCCACACTACCACAGCACATTACCACCTTTTCCCTCACATGAAGTGTGTCTGAAAGTTGACTGCTTCTGAGATAGAGTGCCTCATGAATATGCAGGCTCTTTAATTAATATTCAACTTCTTTCTTTTCCTTTTTTTTTTTTTTTTTTAAATGGTTTTTTGAGACAGGGATTCTCTGTGTAACCTTGGCTGTCCTGGGACTCACTCTACAGACCAGGCTGACCTCAAACTCACAGAGATCCACCTGCCTATGCCTCCAGAGTAAGTGCTGGCTATTTTTTTTAATACTGAGCATTATATGGCTATGGTTTTTGACCAAGCACAGAAAAGACTACTATCATGAATGAAAGGTGACAGATGTAATAAGTGTTAATAATGCACCTCATTACAGTGTTTTCACACAAGTCACAATACTTGGTTCTGCAGTAGAATTGACCTCCGTCTCTCCCTGCCTTGCGCCTGGCTCATTTTCTTCTTTCCCACACTTAGTCAACTGGCTTTTGCTTTCAGGTCATGTGTATTTCATCGCCCCCCCCCCCAATCCTTCCTCTTTCTAGCTTTATGACCTACACACACACAATTCACACACACACACACACACACACACACACACACACACACACACACGTCAACTCCACATTGAAGAAAACGAGTTTTTCTTTCACAGTCTGATTTTTCTTAACAGACTGATTTCCTGTTTACTCATCTTCCTGTCAACATCAAGATTTCATTTTTCTTTACCACTAAGTAAAACTCATTGGATGTGCGTACCATAATTTCTTCATCCATTCATCTGGGGATGGACACACTGGTTGGTTCCATTTCCTGGCTATTGGGACTAAAGCAGCAATGAATGTAGATACCCATGTATGATGGGTATGGTGACTAAGAATTTTTTATGTACAAACACGAATGGGACAGAGGATTATATGGCAGTTCTAGTTTAAGCTTTTTGAGAAACTTCCATCCTGATTTCCACAGTGATTGCATCAATATGATTTTTTGTTATTTGTGTAACATTAAATGGCGCTTAAATTTCATTTTCTTTGCTCGTAATAGATTTAGATATTTGATACATTTTCTCAATCAAAATATACTTGTTAAAATGGGGGTGATAAACATGAAAATACCGCACTGGACAAAAAGAAAAATGAGAGATTTTGAAAATATAAAACCAAATAGCTGTAACTGAAAATATTTCTAAAGACAAAAATAAGTAACTCAGTTTTTCAGTTGCTTACAGGAAATGAGTTCGTTAGACTAACGTCCTCTGAAATTAACACCACCGTTATATGCTCAGAAGGCTAGAGTGAAAAGTCAGCGACAGAGACAGACAGGGGAGCCTGACCGGTAAAACCAGGGGCACATAAAATGAAGCTGTGTAAAGTCGCACACGGCCGAGTTAAAATCCAAGCTCCAAGTTTTTAATTCTTCGTTGTCCCGTCCACAGCTATAAAGTGGTCTTTAACAATACTTAAATCTGCTGAAAGATGGCACAAAGTGCCCGCCACAGACAGCTTTTCATACGAGATAATCATTCCTAATGAAATGCCAGGTTCCTGCTGAGGGAAGCCCAAGAATGTCTCCTATTCCTCAGCCAGAGAGAAGACTGATGAACTTCAAATGTCAAAAAACTACGGCACTGAAAAAAAGTTAGTTTCTCAGTTATGGGTATGGAGAGAGTGGGTACGCAGACCTGAGTCCAGGTGCCCAAGGATGCCAAAGGCATCTTGATGCTCTGAAGCTGCAGTTACAGGTGACTGAGCTAACCCACTTGGGTGCTGAGAAATCAACCCAGGACTTCTGTTAAGAGTAGCAGGGTTTTTTTAATCCCTCCTCTCTGGAGACTTAAGGACATTCTTAAAATGAGACTTACAGCCAGGTCCGTGGAATCCGAACTCGGGAAGCTGACCAGCCTGACCTAAAGTACGACCCCGAGCCCTCCCTTGCCAAAGGCACATCGTTAAGGCAGGGAAATGGCTACAGCTAACAAAGCCGAGTTTACGCTACAGGGTCACTTTAACTTGGGGTCCCAAGCTTCCGCCCCACTCCTCATTCTCGCTGCCCTTACGGAACGTGGATCTTCAGACTTTTCCCTCTGGTGAGCGACCACCACTTCTCAGGTCTAGAGTCGCAGAGCGGGACGCTGCCACCGAGCCAGCTTTCGGCCTGGCCCCCAGAAACAAGCAAAGAAAAATCATTCACGCAGACCAACAGCACTCAGCAAGCTTACTGATCACGTTCCCCAGCCGGGGGGCGGAGCCACGAGGCCCACCGGTCCAATGAGAACGTGCTCCCACGCAGCCTGATTTGCATGTACAACAATGCAAGCCGCATTGGTAATCCCTAAGCGACCCAGCCTCCTTAAGGTAACCTCCCTCCCATCCCGATTAAGTCGCCCCAGCTCCTTTCTGATGCTTTGGGGGCCCTGAAAAGGGCCTTTGGGTTAGGGGTGGTGATGCAAGCGACCAGGGAAGGCCTAGAGCCGGTGGACGCGCTCAGCCGCCGAAGCCATAAAGAGTGCGGCCCTGGCGCTTGAGCGCGTAGACCACGTCCATGGCCGTGACCGTCTTGCGCTTGGCGTGCTCGGTGTAGGTGACGGCGTCGCGGATCACGTTCTCCAGAAACACTTTGAGAACACCGCGAGTCTCCTCGTAGATGAGCCCCGAGATGCGCTTGACGCCGCCGCGCCGAGCCAAGCGCCGGATGGCGGGCTTGGTGATGCCCTGGATGTTGTCTCGCAGGACCTTGCGGTGTCGCTTAGCGCCGCCTTTCCCGAGCCCTTTGCCGCCTTTACCACGTCCAGACATCTTCTCTACCCAGTGAACAAGGAAACAAGAGGAAATTACCTTACAAAGCCCGCCAGCGAGAGCTTATATTCTCTGATTGCGGACCTGTTTGAAAACAGCAGGGAGTGGGCGGAGCTATAGGCTCCACCCCCTGGTTCTTTACTCCGGTCTGCGTTAGCTCCAATACCGGAAGACTTTTTATTCCCCTCTCAAATCTGAAAAACCCTAGCATATTTGAAAATTTAAACAATATAAGCTAACAATTTCTTTTTCTCTTCCTTAGCGCAAATAAAAAGGTCGCAACATGCTATCTTCAGTATGCTCTGATTCGCTATCGAAGCTTATATTCTTTATTGCAAAATAATGTGAAAATGATTAGAAGTCTAGCTTACTAGATACTATGGTAAAGCAATATACGTTTTCACGTGAGTCTTTTGAGTGGATGGAGAAGAGAACGGTCACTTTCTCTTGTGACCACGCTAAGAAAATTATTTTATTCCTCTCTCCACTTCCTGTTTGTTTTCAGTTGTTTTTCTGCAGTTTGTGGAGTTTCTGCTTCTCCTGCCCGGGAACACATCAGTATTTTCTTTTCAACCAACTGTCCGCTTTTATAGTTTCTTAGCTGAGCTATTGTAACGTGTCACTTAGATAAGCTTGCATCTCAGAGCTTGCATTTAAAACTTAAAAGTTCCAGCCAGGTTTAGTGACTCACACCTGTAATCACAGCTCTCTGGAGGTTGAGGCAGGAGGATTGCCACGAGCTGGAGGCCAGCCTGGGCTAGACAAATTCAACTACATTTCATCCCCTCCCCATTCAAAGGTCTTGTAAAGTTACGTTTGTCGGAAGCATGACTTTGAATAGATTTTTACTGGAAATTCCTAAGCCAGAAAAGGACTCTTTTGGTGTTTTGTTCCTTTTTAAACAGGGTTTCTTTGTGTAACAGCCCTAACGGTCCTGGAACTCAGTTTGTAGACCAGGCTGGCCTGGAACTCAGAGTCAGAGATACATCTGTCTCTGCCTCTTGAGTGCTGGGATTAAAGGCAAGTGCCACCATGCCCAGAGTTTTTTTTTTTTTTTTTTTTTTTTTTTTTTTTTTTTTTTTTTTTTTTTTTTTTTTTTGGTTTTTCGAGACAGGGTTTCTCTGTGTAGCTTTGACAGCCGGATTTAAGGGAGAGTTCACAACTCTTTC